TATTTATATATATATATATATATAACGTCGTTGCCATTTGGAAGTATTAAAAAAGGTCTTAGGCCGGGAGGGAGGGTACAAAATTTTTTTATTAATTATTAGACTGAGCTGTCATGGAAAGTGTGTACGAAGAGTAGTGCTTCTTCATTATATGCTAGAGAAAATCAGTAAATGTCTCTGTTTAGGGAAAAGAGGGAAATCTTAGAAATTGTAATTGGTTTAACAAATCGGTCGAGCATTTCCCTCAGAGAGCAAAGGGAAAAATATCCTGTTTTTAATTAAATGCATACTTGGGCCAAAAACGGATAAAAGAGCAGGATGTGACTTTTAAAAGAGTAAGACAGCATTTCGACTGGAATAATGAAATAGTAATAAATTAGGAGTTGCTTTATAACGAAGAAACTAACATAAAAAGATTTATAGAAGCTTTTTATGTTACATATATATATATATATATATATATATATATATACGCCCTAGTACTTATTTTATTTATATGACGGCGCATTTTGTATCCTTGTACTATGAGGCGTGTTCTTTCGCTGGTAGAGTTTTCTTTAATATAATTAGTATAAAATATATGAAGCTGGGATGCAAAACAGGATTTGGGCAGAAAGAACGAGCGAAGATAGCTTAGCAATCAGAAATGAATTTTGTAAACAATACTAGTGGTTAGCATGCGATAGTAAGAAACAGGCAGAACCCATAATTTTATCAAAAAAAAGTTTTTAGCGACTAAATGCACTAAATATTGTATTTTGTTTGAAGCCATGAAATTACTAAAATTAATACTATTAAAAATTTTACAGGATTGTCGCAATACATACTTAGAAATTAACACCGATGAAGAATATAAATTTTGCAGAAGACAGGATTTATTCAGAACTATTACAGCTCTTTCAGATGTTCAAATACATTTCAATGCTTATTTTTCATCGAGGTTTAAATTAAACTATGAAATTAGTAAGTAACCTATTTTTGTTATAAAGTTATTACTTTATAAGTCTCGAAAAGTTGAAATTCTCCTAAAGTGTTTACTATTCGAAATAATGAAATAATCGTTTTTCTCGGAGGGAAAAGCGAGCAGTCCTATGCTTATTTTATTGCAGTTAAAAACAAAAAACTTGGAAGTGGTTGATATCCAGCCAAGCCATCTTATCTACAACTTCAGTCTTTTTTAACCTAAAAGACATTACGCCAGGCGCCCACGGGCACCATCTCAGATGAAGGAGTGGAGTGTCCGCACCGTAATCACCCTGAGTCTAAAAAAATGGTTGATATTTCTGTCTTCCCGGGGGAAAAAAAACTATAATGAAATAGTTTGTTCATTTCGAGTTCGTTCATTTTCTTTCATCATATGTATGAAAAGTTTCATCCTTGTGTAATTTTAATCACTGAAGAGGCTTATTTATCTATCGAAATAAGGATTCGATATCGGATTGTGATGTTAGAAGCGAAAATAAGACTCTAGGAGAATTGGCTAAAGCCAGATTGATAACAGACGACGATGATATACATCGCAATTTAAAAATTGATTACCTCCACTATGGTGTAGCAAAATTAAGTTCTACTTTCTTTAACAAGGCCCAACAACTTAGAGAAGCCAAGTTATATTGTTTCCTATCTGACTGAATCAGCTATGATATTTCTTATCTGACATGTTATCAGAATACGATTCACAGCTATCCATTTCTATTGTGGTGCATTTTTCTTCAATCTAAAAATATGTATTACTTCACTTATGTTTATGATGGCGAAATGCCATTGTTTTACTCCAATTATGGTATGACTGCCCCAACGTTTACCACTACAGTTTTAGTGGTTAAAAAAAACCAATTAGAATATTGTTAGAATCTTTTTAATATTTAAAAAATTTACCAATCTGGCTTTTTTCATTATTTACCAAATACGATTCACCACAAAATTTTTTAGAAAAGTTTTTCCTTAACTGTTTTTCGCTCTTTTCAAGAACACTTCTAAACTTTTAACGAATTTTATTGTTACATTTGTTTTCAATTTTGTTTTTATTGCTACACTTGTTTATTGTTACTGTTATTTTATTGTTACTACATAAAGCAAAATAATTAGTTATATATAGCTTAAAGAACTGCCAATTCTTCCGGTTTTTCCGGAAGATTTTATTTTCATATGAAAAATGCTAGCGAAACTCATGTTATTCCAATAAACTTTTTGAATTATTATAATAATTATAAATGAGTTCGACCACCGCTACATAAAAACAATTACAACAAATATATAATAGCATAATTACTATAACGACAGTAAACTTTCTACCTGGTCAAAATAAAAATATAATTTTGAGTAAGATTGTCTTTCGGTAATTGTTTTACAACCACTTAGAAAATCCAAAAATCCATTTTCGGAAAGAGTGAAAGTTGGCAGGTTTATATATATACACACACGCACGCACGCACGCACGCACGCACGCACACACGCACGCACACACGCACATATATATATATCGATCGAGAAGCTAGAAGCTTATTGCTATATTTTCAGGCACAGGGTGTTCAAGAACACTCTTTTTCGTTCTTAATTAATTTAATTCGCATGATAAATAACATGTCATAGAGAATGTATAGTAAAGTATGTATCCGGAAGTAAAAGTATGGAAAATAATATGTGGTAAACAACACTAGAGTTCGAAAATAATTCTGCAAGTATTTCTTAAGAAATTTGAAAAAGAATAAAAACTCTTCAGTGTCTCTTCCACTATTGTAGGTTGGTGTATATAGTTACTGTAATTTTCTTTTAATACTAAAAGATACCCTGTTTGCTGCAATAGTATGTAATACACATTTCATTGTTGTATGTTCAGTTTTATGTGCTGTCCTTTTATATCTTCGAGAAAATGTGTTATTAATAACCTGTATGGTTATTATTATGGACCATAGATTCCGGGTAACCAAATTATATTTTTGTTGTTTTTTTCTTCTTGCAAATAATAATTATTATAATGAAAAAATATGCTTAAAATAAAACTGGGATGCATTTGATTTAAGCAAACTCGACTTCTCTAAATTTTAAGAACGATCCCCCCTTTCTTATTGCATGTTTGAATTCTCCAGAAAAACATTCTCTAATTTTCCTTGAAGGTTTTTCTCCTTTTGGTTCCCAAATGTCACTGTAATAGCAAAATAGAATTTAGACACAAATTATTTAAAATATATGCGTCTTGAGAAATGCACGAGAGATAAAAAATAATAATAATAATAATAATAGGCCTGTTTGATATTCTGATAAATCTATATAATGACCCCAAACTCGACCTCCACCTCCCCAAAGTTAGCACAGACTCTCGCTAGTCTCCCAAGCTTCAAGGGTGAAGTAGGATCGAACTTGGTGCTATTGAATGAATGCCTCTGCTGAAACTATTGTATGCAACTAATCTGTGAAACTATTACGTGAAACTAATCTTTGAGACTATTATGTGAAACTAATCTGTGCAACTATTATGTGTGACTAATCTATGAAACTATTGTGTGCAACTAAATTATGAAACTATTGTGTGCAACTAATCTGTGAAACTATTGTGTGTTACTAATCTTTGAAACTATTGTGTGAAACTAATCTGTGAAACTATTGTGTGAAACTAATCTTTGAAACTATTGTGTGAAACTAATCTTTGAGACTATTATGCGAAACTAATCTGTGCAACTATTATGTGTAACTAATCTATGAAACTATTGTGTGAAACTAATCCATGAAACTATTGTTTGTAACTAATCTGTGAAACTATTGTGTGTAACTAGTGTGAATTTTTAATGTTTGATTTTTTACTTTTTTCTCGAAATATATGACTGTGCCATACTTTTCAGACTCCTTATCATCTAGCTACAAAATTGAACTAGGTATGTCAAAATTATGTTAAAGCTTTATACAAATATCCCTTTAAGAAACCAGAACCTCAAAGTCATCAGAAATGTTTAGACTTTTCGGAAATCTTTTAAATAACTTCTCATTGAAAAATTGTAATTAAAAACAAATCTCCTCAGTGATTTACACTCAACAGCTTATTTGCTCTTATCTACAATTTTTTCTCTCTTTATGAAAACGGGAGAGAGAGAGAAAACGGGACACTTGAGAAAACGGGAAATTTTTTGTATGAAATTGTGTAAACATATGGTCTAATTAAAAGCCTCAGTTGCTTAATATTTAAATTTGTATGCAGTGACTGTCTTTTATTTTGTTACAGAAGACGTTGAATGTTCTCGTTCTGACAGTTTCCATTGCACACCATATTCCTGCATTCCGAAGTCTCGTGTTTGCGATGAGGTTATGGATTGTTTAAATGGAGCAGATGAAATTGGCTGCGGTAATCGGAAATATTTATTTAATTTTTAATACAATATTTGAAATAATTTTCTGCCATTAAACTGTCAGGTGATAAAATAAATGTATTCAAAACCTTAATGGGGGATTTACTTATCACAAAACCATATTGAAATATTTTATGCATTCGTTGAGAACTCCATTAATATTATAATTTTTTATAACATTTTCTGTTAAAATTAGACTAGCACTGTCAGGAACACTTCAATATCTGTATTTTATGCTGTTTGAAGAGTTTCACAATGAGATATTTCACAATGAGATATCAACAAGCAACATCACTACTAAGTCAGCCAATCAAGTTCGATACACGCGCATGACGTCACTTTCTGATATCCAATTAAATCTGATCCAAAATTTTATTCAGCGTGATAATAAAACCAAATCTTAAAAGTTCTAATATTAGCAAGCCATGCACAATCGCTTTATTAGACACAACCATGTGATAAGTATCCAACTATCCTAAAGAGTCCTCTTTATTTATTCCTCCACTTGGAGCAAAGTTTCTCTTCATAAAGCTTGTATTCCACGTCAAAATCACATTCACTCTCTCAAGCTCTGTTTAGTTTTTATTTATTTATTTTTACAATAAGAAACGAGGTAACGACAGTTTCAAACACCATTTTTTAAAATGTATTTCAAGTAATTAAATGAGCCTTAAAATTGCAATTTCAACTGCAAAATTTATTATCTTTTATTTTACTTTATTTTCCAGAAGTTTTCTGCACATTTCTTGTGAAAACTCTTTATGATACAGACAATCGCATTAAAAAAATTAATTTAGGGTAAAAAAATGTATACAAGACAGGATAACAACATCGAAACCTATTTGATTGTCAGTGGTTGCTTAAAAATGCTTCTAAATGTCACCTACAAATTTTCTCAGTTTCCTACGGAATAAAACAATATTTGATGTTTTCATTTTCACTTTTATGACATATGGTTTGTCATATTTTGAGAACTCTCTTTTTTCATTCAATCTTGAATATTAATTTGCGAACTTTATTGTGAATATTTCATTGTTTACAGGGATTATAATGAATCAGGGGACCTATGTAAGTCGACGCATAAATTAAAATACGCAGAATTAAAAATTAAGCATATTAATAGAAATTCAAAGCAAAAACTATCATTTTGATAGCGTAATAGCATTTTTAACTTGGCATATGATATTATTGATACAGAAAATAATTAAGGTAGATATAATTGAGATTAAAAATAAACTAAGTTACAAAAGTTTAAAAAAAACTCATGCTTTTTATTCACATCTTGATGTACACGAATGTATAAAATTCTTTCCTTACAGCTAGGCATGTAAATAAAATATTATGTAAGAGAAGGAATTTCTTCATATAGCCTCCCTTAGAGTTTTCTAATACAAGCCATCATATATTAATGCATTTAAACAAATAAATGAATAATTTTGTTTTAAAAAAAAGGTGGGAAAAAACGACGTTTAACAGATAATTTATGGTTTTCTCGATGCATTAAGGAGCTATTTTAACATTGCATGGAGTAAGAATGAACTGTAACTATACTGAAATGACGTATCAATAAGGCAGGAAAAAAAACGTATAAATGAGAAAAGTGTAAACGGTATTTTGCAATATATACCGTCTTGCATAAAGTAAGGATAATGATTACAGAGAACACTGTTTCTGTTTGTTCTAATAAATTTTCTTTCCATTTTTAGCGACTGGAATCAATAGTGTGGAGGGTATAGCAGAAGCTCGTAAAAAAGCCATTGTTTGGCTGAGAAACAGGAAATCTCCCTTGAAGGGTTGGCGAGAAAACACAGTGAGAGCTATAACAGCCCTATACCTGGCCGAAAAGTCCACATTTAACAGTCGGGAACTTCAGGAGGAATTAATGGCAAAGCAAATAGAACTCGAAACTGCAGTGTCGTTGTTAAAGTAATATGTATTTCAATGTTATTATAATATTATTGTATGCATATATATTTATGGGGCACTATAAGGTCAGTTCGTGCACAAAATATATATGATAATTTTCTAAAATTATTAATTATCAAATACCTTAAATTATCCAGTATAATATTACCTTGCGCACATCCATTTTCAGGCCCATCCTTGGTAACTTACAAATCAAACGCAGAACTGCAGTAAGAACGCACTTTAATACAAAATCCTTCTATTTACGCTTTTACTTCTATTTGCGCTTTTGGTTTCATGTTTTGCAATCTGGCTATCTTGTTGCAAAAATATTTTAAATCATTCTTGAAAAATTTCCCGTTCACGTAAGTTCATTTGAATTCGCTACTCGCTTTATGGATTTCATTTCATGTTTCATTCTGTTTTTTCTTTACATTTAATTTTCTGTTTTCACGTGGTATTTTTACTTATTGTGTTCCTTTTTATTTGTTGTAATTTTTTTGTAAAAAATGTTTTGAGTGCTCCTCACACTATTGTATTGATATATTTTGCTTTGGCTGTTGAACAATATTAGAAAACACTCCTTTTTGCGGATATAATCGTGTGAGCTGATGAGAAGATTATATCTTTTATTTTCCGGATTATTTTTTTCTTATTTTTCTTCGTATTTTTTTCCGGTTTCTTGTTATTTTTATTATTATTTTTCTTTCTTCCCCTTTTTTCATTGTTCTGTAATTTTTCCATGTTTTCTCTACATTTTGACTTTTTTCCATGTTTTCTCTACATTTGAAGGATAACGAAGCTGGTCGCCAAAGGTGGCTAATTATAATTATTATTATTACCAGACATTTAACAGATTTGTTTTTTCGTTAATGTCCTTCAAGGAGAAAACGTCTTAAAAAAAACAGCAATTTTTTTACATTGCGCTTTTCCGCTAATGAGCTTAAGTCTCTAAATATATATATTTTTAAACAATAAGTTTTGCTTAACAAATTAACGATCTCTAGATGTCAAGCAATTGTCATAAGGTTAGGGTAGTCTAGTGCCATCCATTAAATGTTCTACCAGGACAGCTTATCCTTGTATCTAACCTATGAAGTTCCTCTTCCCAATCACTCAAACATCTAATTTAACTGATTTTTGTCCTTTTATCCGACTAGTGAAAAGCTTTGCTAGAAAAATCTTCTTTGCTGGATTTTTTTCATCGTTTATGGCAAAATGAAAGACTTAATTCGTTTTTGTTTTTAAATTTTAATACTTTAAATAACATTAAACTCTTAAAAAATTCTATAAATTTCTGAATTAAAATGTTTTTACCATGGGCTTTTTATAACGCTGGTAAGAATGTCTCGGAAAATCCATAGATTGAAGTCGATAAATTTGATAAAGTAGTTTGAACGAAAAACGGTTCGATTTATCATCTTAATAAATTTGCAGCATATTCGATTCGTTTAATGGATCAAAGTGGCGATAATTATCCCTCAAACTTTAGCCATTTTTTACAGTGCATCGCTAATATTGGATGTTAAGATACACGCATGTTACAGAAGCGAGTACTTTAAAATCTTAGATATACAGTACTTAAATTGGCCATAACTTAATGTACTGTATTACATTTCTGATCAGAGGTACAGTTTCTAACCAGTTGCTGAGCATGCACATCAACGCTCTTCTGTTGACATGCCAGGATCCTCGACACTTTTATGGAAGGGATTTGGTCAAACTGCTCAAGGACCAGGTNCCTCTAATTTTTTATCAAACAATTGTTATTATGACAATTTTATATTTTCCACGATAACTACAGATTTCTGCTTACTTTATGTAAATTTATGCTTATTTATAAATGTGTTACAACACAAATTTTTTTTATTTTAACACAAAAAATGATGGCAACTATACACTAAAATATATTTTTACAGCGTACTTATGGCGGTTTGTGTGATTTAATAGCTGTCGGACAGATTTCGAATAATTATTAAATCTCAATACATAAAGAACTTTTACAATACCGCGGACATCTTTTACACTTATGTTAAATTGAAATAAAAGCCTTGGGCTAAAACTAGAAGAAAATTGGTTAATATATTGTCTTAAAGCAATTAAGGTGCGAGGGTTATAGGGGGAGGGTGTTGTAGAATTAGAATATTTATGTATTTTAGCAATTAGAAGATACCAGAAACTTTTCATAAAAATAACTTTATTTATTTTCTTCATAAACAATTAAAATTCTAAAAGCGTTAACAAAGTAAAGTCAACCATCTAAGTAAGTAGTAGCGTCATCAATACGTCCGGACTTGGCTGGTTAGATCAGGCACACATCTCCAGGTGAGGACTGAAGTCGAAGTGGAATGCTGACCAACGGCGAGCTGCTTTTTATACTCGTTGAGTGTAGGCGCGCGCCGTTCGGGAAAGCTGATTTGCATTTGGCTGATCGGATTCTTCCAGCCGCGTTGCATTTTAATGTTGCATTACTTCTGTGATGACGTTCTGTGTGATGAAACCACGATATAATTGTGTTGTGCATTCGGCTTGGTTTTCATTAAAATTCAAAAGTTGTACAAAACAATTTGGAAAGGTGACGAAGCTGGACGCCAGATGTGGCTTATTATCGTTCGAAAATGGTTCGATTTAACATCTTAATTAATTTGCAGCATATTCGATTTGCTTAATGGATCAAAGTAGCGATAATTATCCCTCAAACTGTAGCCATTTTTTACAGTGCATCACTAATATTGGATTTTAACACGCTAGTTACAGAAGCGAGTACTTTAAAATCTTAGCCATACAGGTTCAAATTTCTTGCATGTAAATTGCCGTAACTTAATGTACTCTATTATATTTTTAATCAGAGGTACAGTTTCTAACCAGTTGCTGAGCATGCACATCAACGCTCTTCTGTTGACATGCCAAGATCCTCGACACTTTTATGGAAGGGATTTGGTCAAACTGCTCAAGGACCAGGTGAAAGAGTCCGGAAACTTTACTCACCCTTCTGCTTACTTGGCTCTCTGCAATGCGAAGGAAGAATGGCCACACAGGTCGACATCAGACATTGTTTCAATATTGAGCAGTGATTCTGAATACAGTTTTATTGGAGGTAAATTTATTGGTGGATTATCAATTGCAAATCATAATTTCAAAATCAAGACAATTATTTGAAAACCTCCATAACATTTATTGTTTGACTGTTGACTAATCTGATAAAACAAGTTTTCATTACAAGCAAACACTTTTTTCTCGCTTTTTATTAAATTTCAGTTTTGGATCAAGCGCATTTGATGTCCAGCATTCCTTATTGAGCAATTTTTGATTTGTACTGACTTATGAGGTCTTTTTTAAAACTCCAGACGCATCTGAGTACAGATAAATGTGCGTCTTTTTCCCGTTACTTATTATTACCAAAAATTATTATACTGAAAACATTTTAAAATTTATATTCCCATTTTATTCCGTTAATAGGTCCCTAAACTTATTATATCTTTTCCTAACTTGAATTATATGCCCAAACTGATGTAATCCTTGCACGTGCCTAAACTGATGAGATCCTTTTGTAATGTGCATTATATGCCGTGAATACCTTAACTGATGAGATCCTATCCTAACATGCATTATATGCTGTGAATACCTTAACTGATGAGATTCTATCCTAACGTGCATTATATGCCGTTAATAGGTACCTTAACTGATGAGATCCCTTTCAAACGTGCATTATATGCCGCTAATAGATACTTAAACTGATTAGGTCCTTTCCTAATGTGCACACAACTCGATGACATTATGCTAAATGAGATTCAAACTTTGTCATATCCTAATACATCTCACAATTTTATTACACTTTTCTGATAACCATTGTAAGAAATCTAGAAATCTCGTAAAATTTTAAATGTGAATCATAAAAGTGAGTATTTTATTATCAGCCAAAAACTATAAAATCTAAAAAAAATTTGCTTTTTTATAATACCTTGAACACAAATAACTCTTTCAAATACGTATGATTGGTTACAATAACTTAATTGCAGTTTATTTGATTATTGGATTTTTTACGCTTGTGTAAATTATGTTATTGAACCTGTTCCGACCGGGACTGAATTTTAACTTTGTATTCGAAAGTGCCTCTCAAGCACCTACCGCTATGAATGTTTAAATTTGTACAACTTAATCTTTAGTAACCACTTTATTCAGTTGTTCCGTTATACCTAACTAGACTTCTACGCATAACTTGTATACGATCATTTATCGTATGTGCGAGTCCAGCCGGGAATTGCTTGAATAATAAACAAGTCAAGAAATTAGACACAATATAATTTAAACTCCGAAGAAGGATTACGTGAGCATCACCATATATACTTCTAAAGAAAGACATAATTATAAACACTATATATGAATAGCCAAACAAATTGAGTGTTAGCTTATTCAGGAGGCCTAGCAAAAGCACTACTGCAGATTCTCATATAATTTCAAACAAGGAACTCATTCACTATGTTAGAAGTCACAATCCAGTTATAAATTTCCTTCTCTTAGACAGTATTGCATCAGATAAATTTAACAGATATACCCTATATTCTTGCCCGGATATTTCCAAAGAGGGGAATGAACCAAGGGTGATCAGTGGTAAGGAGTATTTCACCAACTAATTTTTTAACTTAATTGCGCCCTACAGCTGTTTATATTTCTAAATTATATATCTTACTTCATTATACTCGTACTATTTTTTAATTATTAAATCATGACTAAAGGCCTGGTTTCTTAGGACAGGTTGACGTTACAACCCCTGATTGGACAATTTGTGAGTTAGACATCATACGCCATCGAACGCTCAGCTTGAACGACGATTGACGTCCGAATCAACTGCAGTTGGATTACAACGTAACGTTAACGGCAGAAACAATGGCGGGCAGCAGCCAACAGAGCATTGAAATCAGCCAAGATTTTGATTTTAACATTAAACATAGCTTCTTCCTCTTCTTCTTTATTTAACTAAGTTAAGTTATAATGTGTTTTTTCTTGGACAAAGCCATTATTTGTTATTTGTTCTCTAACGCACTGGTCGACAGTAACAAAATCAATACAAATTCAAAATAAATATTTGTTTACGTTATTAACGCATGCGCAATGCGAGGTAATGCCTACGTTGGACCGACTGCTCACACTGAGCTAACAAAACAGTATTTTGTTGGCATCAGCGGTACGTCAACTTTCCGCTGACCCCCAGACAAGACGCTTGTCTTAAGAAACCAGGCCTTTAGTCAATTATGCTGACAGATACACTAGTCGCCAATTACAATTAATATTTCGCATACCATTAGTCTAAGGTTCCTAAGGGTATGTCTCAAGAGTGAGTGAAGTCTCCGACGGACTTAACATGTTATCGATTCTAACACATATCGAGTCAAGTTATTTAGTAGCCTCCAGGTACTATAAACATCGAGTTTCATCTTTTAAACTCCCAGTTGTAGCTCCCATTTTCTTTTAACCATTTAAAGGAAATCGTGTGCGAAAGGTAATGAAATAAAGGAAGTGAATTTGAAACGTAAGGAAATAAAAAGGGGATAATTAAGTTTCTCATAATATGTATACAATCCAATAAATGCATACTGTTTACTGATTTGAAAAAAAAATCAATTCAGTTATTATTAATAATAACAATTAATTTCCACATAGTTCATCAACTTGTAAATAAAATAGTTGGTGGAATAAAATTGATTAAAAAAAACTTGTTTACTTAATTTTGCAGATTTCCAAGCATTTGCTGTGATGGCTGTTGCATGTTATAATGAAACAAAATTTTTAAATACAAATGCAAGTGCTGATTTGTTGTCTGTGTATCAAAAGACTATCAAAGATTTCAAAGAACATCAACTTCCAGATGGAAGTTTTGGNAATTTGAAAATAGTAAAAATTCATCTACAAAGTTTTCCTCTAAATCGGATGAGTAAATTTTCACCAAATTTTGCGCTTTTAGTTTAATCTCAGATTTTGACAAATTTTTGTGAACAAGAAAACAGAAATTATCGTACAAATCACTGTAAGCTTTACGCCTTTTAGTCATTTCTGAAATTAATACATCTAAAATGGCGTAATACATTTCCATACGAGGAAAATTTTAGCATATATTTTGAAAAGAGGGGAGGAGTGGGGGGAGGAGGGGAGGGCCCATAAACGGCTGTGCCTAGGGCCTACGAAAGGTATAATCCGGCTCTGGAGGTAATGTCTGCGTTGGACCGACTGCTCACACTGGGATAACAAAACAGTATTTTGTTGGCGTCAGCGGTACGTCAACTTTCCGCTGACGCCCAGACAAGGCGCTTGTCTTAAGAAACCAGGCCTTTAGTCAATTATGCTGACAGATACACTAGTCGCCAATTACAATTAATATTTCGCATACCATTAGTCTAAGCTTCCTAAGGGCATGTCTCAAGAGTGAGTGAAGTGTCCGACGGCTTGAACACGTTATCGATTCTAACACATATCGAGTCAAGTTATTTAGTAGCCTGCAGGCAATATAAACATCGAGTTTTGTCTTTTAAACTCCCAGTTGTAGCGCCCATTGTCTTTTAACCATTTAAAGGAAATCGTGTGCAAAAGGTAAGATTATCGAATATTGAATTTAAAACGTAAGGAAATAAAAAGGGCATAAATAAGTTTCTCATAATATGTATACTCAATTCAATTTCTCATAATATGTAAAATCAATTCAGTTATTATTAATAATAACTGAACTTGTAAATAAAATAGTTGGTGGAATAAAATTGATTAAAAAAAACTTGTTTACTTAATTTTGCAGATTTCCAAGCATTTGCTGTGATGGCTGTTGCATGTTATAATGAAACAAAATTTTTAAATACAACTGCAAGTGCTGATTTGTTGTCTGTGTATCAAAAGACCATCAAAGATTTCAAAGAACATCAACTTCCAGATGGAAGTTTTGGTAACGTCCACGCAACAAGTCTAATTACTCAAGTAATATACATTTTTGTATATTTATAATCCTTAATTCATTACTTATTAACACTTTCATAGGTACAATAAGTTTATTTTTATTAAAGAAAAGTTTAAGTTGCAAAATAAATTTTTATTAAGCAAGATTGTAAATAATTCAGTTTCGTTTGCTTAATATCATTAAATTGTAAAATATAATTATTAAGCAAAAAGAAAAATAAATAGTAAAACGAAGAGTGTAATAAACAAACCTCCCACCCCCCACAAAATTTATTGCGAATTTTTTTTGCTTTTTATGTCTTTCTGACACTATCTTTGTGAATTAAATTTTATTTTCTCCTTGTAAAAGAATTATCTTGTAGTGGTGCGTGCATATCAGTGATAATGAGAAATAATGAAATAAATGAATAAAGTATAAAAATAAGAAAAGAAAAGTATAAAAAATATCAAAAACATAAAAAAGAGTTAATAGAAAGTCATTCTGTTTGCAGGGTTTCTAATAGCTCACGAGCCTTCCAATACCCAACTCCCAGGTGCTCAGCATTCATTAGGGCGACCTCTTTCGCATAATACAATTTGAGTAGGGAAAGTACAAGAAAGTCATGCCCGGTTGCCAACCTAGAGGCAACAACTGCGTTCCGTCTTCTGTAATCTGGAATCTTGTTCAGAACCACTCCTTATCACCAATTTGCTCATTTAAATGATTCTCATAGTTCTTATTGACGTTATTTTTAATTATATAGCCGGCCAGGTGGCCGAGTGGTTAGCGTGTTTGACAGCGATGACAATGGCTGCGGATTTCGAATCCCGCTCAGGGTATGGATGTTTCTCTCTGTGTCTTGTCCTCTGTTTTGTGTGATGTGTTAATGTGGTCATCTATGGTAGTGTGTCGTGAGTAATATTGCTCACCTCCGTGACTTAGGTTCACAGAGGCCCACTGGGTAACGTTAAATGGGCAATACTTCCAGGATCTTCCGAGATCAAGAACGTAAGTCCAGTATCTGCCGTTAAAAAAAGAAAATAATTATTCTGTTTAAAGAAGTAAAAAGGTATTTCTCTCTGGACGTACTGCAAGCTCCTTTTTTAGCTGGGAGATCAGCCGTCTCATTTCCATATAAACTACCATATTCTTTTTTCGGCTCCCTAAATTCTCTTTACAGCTTTTAATTCTATTGTGAATCTGAGAAATCTAAAGATCTAACTGCTTGGATTGATGAGATGGAGTCAACTAATACAATAACATTTCCTAAGTCCTCCACCCTTGACAGAAGTTGTTGAGTTATCGTTCTAAGAGATTCAACTTCAACTTCAAGCGGAGTTGTGTTTGGTCTTAAGATTAAATAAAAAGAAAACAAGTGCCGTATATAAAAGGTTAAAAACCAAATCGAACTCAACAGGAATTAGAAAAACTGCTTTTAGGATAAATGTACTCGTAAACTACCAATAAAAATGCTTCTGTTTCAGCTAGAAAAACCACTAATTCACTACTTTTGAAGATGTTTCTAAAAAGTGTTTTACCTATTTTTTTTATCCCTTAATAGAAATGTTTGTTTTTGGCTTCGTATTAAAATCATTCTGATAATATACATTCCACGGAATACACTATACTTTCTAATAATGCGAATAGGTATACATTATGCTAAGCAAAACAACATGAATAATTCTCAAATAGATACACAGACATTGACATTGTGCGTTAGTTTCGTTTCTATAAACAGGAGTATTCCTCAAAGTGAAAATACAAAGTAACACGCGTTTGTCTCTTGACTTTTCTCTCGCCTGTCAATTTGTCTTTTAACAATGAGGAAGTTTTTTTTAACAGAACCGAAACTATAACACTATGTTCATTTTCGTGTATCGGATTATGCTTTATTAGTGTTAAATTTGTTTTTTTTATTTCCGGAATGAATGTTTGCTTTTTTAGAGTCTTTTAGCGAGTGGTCAGGAACACACTAAAGACTGGAAGCTGAACGAGACACTCAAATACTTGATGAAAGAATTGGAAAATTCGAATGCTGACTTTCTCGCCTACTATCTGACTCTCCCGATTTTGAATGGAAAAACTTTAACGGACATTCGGAGTTACAACTGTTCACTAACAACAGTGGATCCAAGAGGTGGGTGTTGAGTGATTCGTAAATTAAGATGGGGGATCTTAGACATCATTTATTTATTACTTACCAACATTTATTTTAAATAGCAAAAAGAGTAACATAAAAGACAATATGGCGTAAATTTAGTACATCTAAAAACCCACAACGCAATTTTTCTCAGTTATAAAAAGTATCTATCATCAATGAAACTTGCTCCTTTGCTTGGAGAGTGTTTATGCACTCCTCGAATTCTTGATTCTCGACAGTGAGTGTTAATCTGTCGGGGTCACAAAGTTTACCAAGTTTCTATAACAAATCAGTACTTCTTGGAGTACTGGATCGGAGATTGATCGTACTCTGGTTCAGGTCAAAATTACGATCTGCGGATAGATATGAAAAAATTTGACTCATTAGTTTTGGATACCTTTTTTATTAATTTAACCCTTTCGCTACCACCGGGACATATATGTCCCGCAGGCAGTTTCAAATAACCCTATGGGCTAAGTATGCTTTGTATTATTATGAATGCATGTCCCACTGGTATTCCTTGATATCACTGACAATTCAGTGTAATTTTCTCCCAATAGATGACAGTACAATCCTTTCCCAATACATTTTTCCCTCCCAAAAATTTATTGCGCGGTATTTTGTCCTGTCTTGCCGCCATTTTGAGCACTGTGTGATGGAAGGAAAGGCATCGAAGCTTATGCTGAATGTGGGCGATCACTTGCCAGTATAAAGTTCCAACTCGCAGAAGATGTGTATGATGTGCCAAAGTGAAAGACTAAAAAAGAACAAAAACTGCATGTACAATGTGCAAAAGTGCACTTTGCAAAGACTGTTTTGCAGTATACCATACATGAGTGTTTATTATATCCTTATTATAGTTTCATTATATCCTTATTGTATCCTCATTATATACATATTATTATATCCTCATTATATCCTTATTATAGCAAAATACGTGTAAATAAGTAAAAGTAACTTAGCTTTTCACTGCATTCTCAATCATTATTTCAGTACCACTGGGACGCATGTGTCCCACGAAAAAATACCAATGGGACATATATGTCCCACTCATCCCTCTCCCTCTGGTAAGTAATTTTTCCCCTTTTTCAGAATTTTATCGATATTTGCATTGTAACTGATGTATTTAAGTACTTATTTGATTTTTTTCTCAGAAAAAAAATTGGCAGTGAAAGGGTTAAATTTCACATGATGTTCAATGTAGTATTATTAATTAAATATTATTCCTAAATTTAAAAGAATTTGTTTTTCTGTTTGTGACAGTTACTTTGTGCATTTAATTATACATTGAAAAAAATTGTTATTGGCTCAAAACAGTGCTTAGTTGACACTATGTTTTACTTTTTTATAAAGATAAAAGGGGAAAAACAAAGCTGAGTCTTATCTTACCTTCCAGCTGTCATAAAAATACACTTTTTCCATCATTTGAGTGAGTGATAATTTAACAGTTTCTTTCTTTCTTTTTTTTTCAAGCAATGAAATTTATCTCAAGATACTCAAGAGTTTTGTGTTCTTAATGCGTAGCCACTAATTTTCTCTGACCTAATTGTTTTTATTTCTTGCTGTTTTTCAGAACAGCTAGAGTTAGAAATGAAGCACCATACGGGATCAAAAATACAAATCCAGTATTCTTTGTTTGTGGGCGACGAGAAAGATATCATTCATACCATCCATTTGAAAGTGCCCTCGACTTTCACAGCTTTCCAAGTGTTGCAGTCCGCAGAAGCAGAAGATCCCAAGTATAAGTGAGTATCGTACAAACTGGACAATCCGTCTCATCATGACTGTTCAGAATTTTTATAACAAGAATAAAACATGTACTTTTAATTCATGCAACATTCAAATAATCGGCAGTAAAATGAAAACCCACTGCAAATTGAATTGAGTTTGTTTTGGCACTGAAATTGTGACATTGAATTTGTTTTACTCAAAACTAAATGAAATAAAGATTTAGTACATTTATCCTTCTGGGAGACGATCGATTCCAACCTTGTAGAAACAGGTAGGTCTCAAGCAGATTCACGACCACACCCAATTTTGTTGTACACTGTCCAAGAGATACCTATTTAAACGAATATCCTCCTTCGGGTCACCTAAAATGTTAAAGTCACGAGATGAAAGATCTGGTTACTACGTTGGCTGTTGAAGTGTTTTGCAGCAAAGTTTCTGAGATTCCTCAGGTTTTTCCGGAAAACAACAGCATTCCCTGTCAAACCAACAGTAGGTTTTATGTCTCAAATGGCTTTTTCCAGACAATGTGCATTCCTCGTTGAATATTTCTGCCACCAGAGCACGCATACCTGGGATATGTAGTTTACATCGCAAACATGCGGCGTGTTCAGCCATCCGTGATTGCTTTAATTACCAATGATGGACGAAAGCAGTTTCCACTGCTCTTGTCTCCGTAAAAAACATGAATTTAGAGAGGAATGAGTTTTATGGCGGATGTTAAGTTCAGCAGCGTGTTCAAAGTCGCTCTTAGCATGCATGTTCAGTCTTTATTTAACTGCATCTCATTTTAAATGTCAGGTGTTTCGTAACATTTGAAGAAGGAACACAAAATGATGAATCCTAACTATAATGTATTCTTATGATGGTAAGGATGAAGAAATGCAGTGTTAAAATCATTTACAGATCATTTGCTTGTGAGAGTTTGAAATGGATTTTTTCTCTGTCATTCCCAATTAAAAGATTGCGCAACTGCTTTAGGATGGCATCAATTTCATAACTACCGAAAAATATGATGTTGGTTAATAGAGATTGCAACTGTACGTTATAATGTGTTCAAATAGCAATTTTATTTCAGTTTTCCCACCAAAGAAATTCCGCTCTCTTTATAAGCTTAGAATCACATAAGTTTTTACGTAAATTGTGTACAACATATTTGCTAGGAATGCATAAACCGTAAAAAGAAGCCAAAAATTTGCTTAAATGTAAAACAAACTGTACGAAATGACTAATATAATAAAACAATATCCTAGCTGTTCCAAAACTATCTTCTTCTAAAATTTCATCTGTTACTTGTTGTTTTTCTTGAGGTATTTTATCGTAATTTTAACGTATTTATGAAAATTGCAAAAGATACAATTCTTCACTAAACTGGTAGAAACAGGTGCAATATCTATGTGGACCTGTATTCACTGATGCATCTGAAATGTAGGTAAAAAAAGCATCCTTATCCGTACCGTAAACCGGGACGAGTCTACCCATTTTTTCAGTTTGTCAACTTTCAAGTGATCAAACTTTCGTATGTATTAAAGAAAAAAGGCTTTTAATAGGTGTTTCGGAATCACTATTTATCCCTCNTGGCAAAAATATTTATTTCGCAAACTTCATGTGCATTTTTTTAACAATAAATATTTCGTAAATTTGATGATATTTCGCACCATTTTTTATGGTATTTCTCTCTTTTGAGTGAATAGTTTGTCCTTTATGAGACATTTTGCTGGGAGAACAGCAGTTTTTAAATTTAAACTATATTTAATTAGCAAGTGTAACAAAAGGTACAATAGCAGATGATAAAGTGAAGTAAGTGACTGGAAATGTGTTTGGTGCGCATTAAGGGTTGTCTCATTTTCAAAAGCGGAGATGTTTCTCTTTTTACTCCCGCGCTGAAATGAACTCTGCGTCCGAGGAGGTGGAGCCAAGTGCCAACTCCTGGTGAACGAACTATAGTTTACACTGCAAACATGCGACGCGTTCAGCCATCTGTGATTGCTTTAATTACCAATGATGGACGAAAACAGTTTCCACTGCACTTGTCTCCGAAAAAAACGTGTAAACATGCAAATTTTCAGAACGCACTTCTCCTAAGTTACAGTATTAATGCGTGACAACAGAATTTAGAGAGGAATGAGTTTCATGGCGGATGCTAAGTTCAGCATCATGTACAGTCTTCATTTTACAGCACCTCTTTTTAAATGTCAGGTGTTTCGTAACATTTGAGGAAGGAACACAAAATGATGAATCCTAACTATAATGTATTCTTATGATGGTAAGGATGAAGAAATGCGGTGTTAAAATCATTTACAGATCATTTGCTTGTAAGAGTTTGAAATGGATTTTTTTCCTCTCATTCCCAATTAAAAGATTGCGCAACCTTTTTAGGACAGCATCAATTTTATAACTACCGAAAAATATGATGTTGGTTAATAGAGATTGCAACTGTACGTTATAATGTGTTCAAATAGCAATTTTATTTCAGTTTTCCCACCAAAGAAATTCCGCTCTCTTTGTAAGCTCAGAATCACATAAGTTTTTACGTAAATTGTGTACAACATATTTGTTAGGAATGCATAAACCGTAAAAAAAGCCGAAAATTTGCTTAAATGTAAAACAAACTGTATGAAAATGACTAATATAATGAAAAAATACCCTATGCAAATAGCTGTTCCAAAACTGTCTTCTAAAATTTCATCTGTTACTTGTTGTTTTACTTGAGTTATTTTCTCGTAATTTTACGGATACGATTCTTCACTAAACTGGTAGAAACAGGTGCAATGTCTATGTGGACCTGTATTCACCGATATGCATCTGAAATGTAGGTAAGAAAAAGATCCTTATCCGTACTTTTATTAAATGATCTGTAAAAAAAGTTTTTTTTTTATTTCTACGTACGAAGCGCATACTCAAAAACTATACAGTGAAGGAAATTTATACTCATACATAAATTGCACATTAAAGAAAAACTTATTATATCTATAGTTGTTATCCGTATTGAATCAATTGGTTTCTACATATCGTATAACTTCCTAATTAAAAATAATTATAATTTTTACTCTAGATTCCAATGGAAAAAAGTCTTTGATAAAATAGATGTGTACAAAGTTGCTCAAATATCGAACGATCCCGAAATCGGAAAATTTTGGCTGTTGTTTCATGGGACAGGAAAAACAGATGTTCTCAATCATTCAACGGATCAAACTACTACAGCGCCATCTTCCTTAGAGTCTGAAATAAGTCCTCCGTTGGTAAAAAAAATTTTATTTGCAATTTAAAATAGTGAAAATTAAATAAAACTAAAATGGGTAGACTCGCCCCTGGATGGGTAGACTCGCCCCGGTTTACGGTACTTTTATTAAATGATCCGCAAAAAAAGTTGTTTTTTTTATTTCTACATACGAAACGCATACTCAAAAACTATACAGTGAAGGAAATTTATACTCATACATAAATTGTACATTAAAGAAAAACTTATTACATCTGTAGTTGTTATCCGCATTGAATCAATTGGTTTCTACATATCGTATAACTTCCTGATTAAAAATAATCATCATTTTTATTCTAGATTCTCATGGAAAAAAGTCTTTGATAAAATAGATGTGTACAAAGTTGCTCAAATATCGAACGATCCCGAAATTGGAAAATTTTGGCTGTTGTTTCATGNTCTCCAGGTCATCATAGGTATGTGTAAAATTTTAATTATATTTTAGGTAAACTAAGAAATATTAAGAGGAAGAAAAAAAACCTTGTAAAATTTTTTTTTCTAATTTTTCAATTTAAACCGTTTTTTTTTTTTTTTAACTCAAGAAATTTTCCGGAATTTTGACTTGGACTCACAATCACCCCTGTGGAAGTAAAATGCATTCCCCTCATACTCATATGCATATACTGTTTGCATGAGTAGTCATCTATAAACTAATTTTATAAATACTTTCCACTAATTTATTCCCATTTCAAAATTTTTTTCTGTTTTTATGTATACATTCGTATGGTCATGCTTTAATAATTTTGAGTTCCACAGCATCTTGTAGCATTTATTGTGATTCTAGCAAACAATAAACCAATCTACTCTACTTTAAATGATTCGGCTCCTACGCAGGGATGAAATTGTACTTTCAATACTTTCTCAAGTACATGGTTACACATTATTTTGGTTACAAGTACATGAATAAAATATGGAATATAAGGAGTATATGTATTTCTAAAAAAATACTTTAATATCCTTGATCTATTTTTGCTTTTTAATCCTTTCAGGTACGGAGGAATAAAAACGGATCCACTTATTTTTTACAATAATATAAACCTTTAAAATTGAAAGGCCTTTTTTTTCTAATAACACTTTGGGCATTTTCTAAGGCGAAGAACGAAAGTTCAGTGCCAGCCATTATTCAAAAAATAATTAATTTGCTACCAATTTATCAAACGTTTTTCAGAAAAAAAACCCAGTTGAGATCCCAGCAGATTGTTTTCTGTGGTACATTAGAGTTCTGTAAAAGTGTTAAAGGGGTTCCGAGAGTTCAAGACCCGCAAAGATTTTGGAACTTTTAATTATATTTAAATCTAAACAATAAACCAATATTTATTTAATAATTTGGTTGACTTAATGAAATTATTTAAGCTAAAAGACAAATAAGAAAGAAGCTTTTGAGGACACCTTTTTGAAGAAAGAAACACATAATTTTTTATTAATAATATAATGAATTAATTATGAAAAGACATACATTTAAAATTCTCGCCGGACCTTTCAAAACAAACTAAATTTGTTAATAAAAAATATGTTTCCCCAAAAAGCATTTTCAACTTTGATAGCAAATCTTTTCAGTTTTCATTTAATAATCATAATTTGATTATCATAATTTGGCTAATTTCATTCGTTTTCGGTTTATGTATGTACACCAAAAACCAATTCAGTACTAGAGTAGATAAAACTCCTGGTCTCCGAATTTATCTGTATTGGAATTTACTGAATTGGTTTTTGGTGTATGTACATACATAATATCTATAAAAAATATCACAATTTGGCTTATTTTATTTGTTTCCAATTTTTGTATGTATAGCAAAAACCAATTCAGTACTNCCAAAAAAAAGAAATGACTCCTTTTTAAAGAAAGAAACATATATTTTTTTTTACTAATAACATATTGAATTAATTCTGAGAAAGACATACATTAAAAAAATTTACATTTGTATTTCTCACCGGACCTTTCAGATCAAACTAAAATTGTTAATAAAGAAATATGTTTTCCTAAAAACCATTTTCAACAGTTTTAGCAAATCTTTTTAATATTCATTTAAAAAATATAATTTCATACCTGCCAACTTTTCCGGATTTTCCGGAAGATTTTATTTTCATATTTAAAGTGGTAGTAAATATATACTATTTTTTTTCTTTTATAAACTTAATTTTTAAATGATTTTGATCACCACTATTCTTACAAAAATTAAGCACATATACTAATATGCGTTACTGTCATGGTCGGCAACCAAAGTTTTCTCAAATACAACGTATTTGTTTGCTTAAAATTGAAGTTTTAATACCACTGAGAAAAATGATAAAGGAAAGGATTAAAAGTTGGCAGGTATGTAATTTGGCTCATTTTATTCGTTTTCAGTTTATGTATGTACAGCAAAAACCAATTCAGTACAAGAGTAAACAAAGCTCCAAGACTCCGAATTTAGCAGCAGAACGTAAAATCTATAAGCAAATATCATAATTTGACTCACTTTATTCCTTTTCAGTTTATGTATGTACACCAAGAACGAATTCAGTACTAGAGTAGACAAAGCTCCAGGACTACAAATTTAGCTGTAGGACATATATTCTGGTTCGACATTATTGGTAATAAAATTACGAAAAAAATTCATTCGTCTAATTTGATTTCATATTTTATAATCGGCGTTGAATAGTCGACCCAATTCTGAGTCTATGACCATCAATGTTAAAACCCGTAGTTTTGTAGTTTTTAACTCAACCCAGAAGACAAAGAAACTCCTGGATCAAGCATTGGAGCAAACTTCCCTTTGTGGAGGATTTTTTGATGTAACTAACCTGCATTTATGTTACATGACATTTGTGTTTGATTTTTAATCCATTGGAATCGATTTAATTAAATACTAAACTAGGAAGCAACAGCCAAATTAAAAACTGGTAGCAAGTTTTTGATTAAAGATGATTGATTTTTCCTTTTAGTTAGTCGATTAGTTACCATATCAAATTTGATTCTTACCTACATTATCATTTATATGATGTGTTAGTCATCAATACATCATTTCTTTCAAAATGGACCGATAGAAACATACTATTGTACCAACTTTTTACTTATTCTAAATAAATGCGAGATGCCATTGGGTAATTTATTTCTTGAAATATACACCATATCCATGCAACACCTGCTAGAAGAAAGAAGGCCTCAGCACGGTTCAATTTTGCAGTTCGCAACGAGCATAAACTGCGCAGTGGATGAAAAATAAGAAAGATGTCACTACGTTATGACTACTGAAAGATCAAATTCCTTGTTTGTGGTAACCCGTGCTGAGGCCTTCTCTTTTCTAAGAAGTATTGACCCGAGTCCTTAGGCAGTAGGTATGTAAGGATGGTGAAAAAGGTCGTAAAAAGCAGTTAGTAATTATTATTTTATATTTTCCTAGGTCCAGATCAACTCAAACTAGAGGATGGTAATCATCTTGTTCTATGGTATAAAAGTGTAGATGTTTGACTTAAATCTGCTGCAGCCCAAAGGATTACTTTTAAAGAATTGTACTGGGAAATAATCTCATCAAAAAGAAGAAAATGCTGTGAATTGTTTTTGTAGTTCAAAATTAAAAATAAATTTGTTCTGAAACTAAATAAGTTTTCCTAAGTCTATAATAAGCAAAGCAATCTTCAATCGATTGCAACAAAGTGATCTTTAATTCTTTTAAGTGTTCAGTTATTATCTTCTACATTTGAAGAATCATTCAAAGTTAAATATTACACATTATGATCTGATTACTTTTACGAAATAATTGTCTAAGTACAATAAAATTATGCTTTTTTGAGAATTCTGTTTTTATTTTAGGATTTTTTTCTACTCTAAAAGATAATGCTATATTATTTGAATGTATATGTACAATTTATTTTCAAATTAAAACAATAGCTTCTGTATACTTAAAATTTAAACATATTTTTTTACTATAATATGCATATTTACATTTTTCAACATTTATTGAGAATGTTACTAAGAGCAATAATGTACAGTCTGGAAAAAAAACGTCCTGCAGTGGACTGATTGTTAAGACACGGTTCCCAGCAGATCATCGAAGTCAAGCATCACTGGCTGCGGTCAGTGTGTGGGTGGGTGACCACTTGGATCAGCCTGCGTAGGGACCGAGGGTGTGCGGCATTGGTCCTCGTTAAACTGTTCTACCGCAAAGTGCTCGACTTCGCGTGCAGGTCGTCGGGCTACCGAAGCGGAGGGTGCCATCCCCTCTGCAGAGGATCAAAATTGTGATGGCATGTCTTCGGATCATCTTCAGGGATGTTTCCCAGACCGTCGCAAATAGCCCATTGTGCAGCTCTAGTGCGACGTAAATGAACAACTACTATTGAAAAAAAAAAAAACGCTAATCCTTTTAACTTATGAACTATTGCTCGGATTTGTTGTTACTGTGGCTCATTATTATTCAAGGTCTAACTGTAAGCTAGACCATGTCCANATCAATTCTTCCATACGCAGTATGTTGCTGTATATCTAGATTAGAGGGTCATTTTAGAAGTGAGGAGCTAGACTTTTGTAGGATAACAAAAATTGAGAAAATATCACGAACGTTAGCGGGAAAATGGCCGTCTGCACGGACGTCAGATTCGAGATATTCGTTGTCCGCGGGGAATTTTTGACCGCCGAGGACGGGCGGACGGGTGGTTTTTCGAGCCCTGGCCTACACAGAGGAGATGATGCTCTGGGGAGGCCAATGCTGACGTGCACGGACGATAAGATTTCTGTTCATTAATATGTGCAAGGTATCAATCTACACTATCTGATCAAAAGTATCCGGACACTCAATGGTATGGACTTAGAGCGTCCTCAGGCTCATATTAATATGACGTGGGTCCCCTTTTTGCATCGATGACAGCCTGCACACATCTGGGCAGAATTTCCATCAGTTTTTTTTAAATAGGAAATGACTTCCATCACAGTTGAAGTAAGTGCTTGCAGAGAGGATGGTCGGTTTGGCTAGCTACATAATCTGCCCTCTAATTCATCCCAAAGGTGTTCTATGGGATTTAAATCTGAGATCTAAGAAGACCAGTTCAGTTTTTGAACACCCGTTTCGTCAAACCACGTCTGTGCAAGCCTCGATGCGTGAATGGAGCAGTTATCCGGCTGAAAGAGTAATTGGGTCTTCCCCAAAATATTGCCGTTGAGTTGGGAGTGTAGCATTGCCCAGAATGTCCACATACATCTCAGAATTCATGCTTCCAACCACAGGAACAAATGGTCCCACGCTAAACTACGAGTAACACCCCACATCATTATGCTACCATACTGGATGTCCGAATACTACAACTGGATTTCCGAATATTTTTGGTCAGATAATTTATGTATATGTCCACTGTAAACGAGGGGGAATATGCTAATTTTTCCGGGAAAAAACGCATTTTTTCCGGAGAACCATAGTAATACAATTTTTTATAAATTTAGATTTAACATCCCGATGTAAGGGGAGGAAAGGTAGGTGAAATAATGATGGGTTGGCTTTTATAGTTTGATTACTACCATGGTAAGACGTTTTGATAGTCTAACGTTCATTTAGTGAGTTACATTTACTTTTATATCTTTAAAATAATTCGTTAAATTATAATAATTATTGTTCTTTTCCTTTAAAAAAACTTTCAACTTCTACTAGATCAAACTAATTAAGAATAAATAATTTTTAGAAATTCTTCTGTCTGGAATTGTCGTTGAATAAAGAATTTTACATTTGAGTGCAAAGATTTTTCGATTCACTAAAAAAGTTTTCAAATCATAGTGAAATACATAAGTAGTGAAATTAACATCGAAGGGACTGTAAACACTACATTAACATTAAAGGGAAAATTATCATTTAACTTTCGACAGTTCGTGTCGTTTGTGAACATTTGCCTTCGACGTTTTGTGTTTCGTAACTTAAAATATCGTCTGTAGTAAATGAATTAGCATATTTGAGGTCACCTCCTTGAATCATTAAGAAAGATTCCTAGCATGTAAAGATCCAATCATTAAATCAAAAGTTGTTCTAACTTTTGATCTAATGATCTGTTCTTTAATGATGGGTGTTGTATATTTATCTACCATTTAATTTATTTTTCAGGGTGATCCGTTTTTTTTGGTGCACTGTACATAGATTCATAGCTGCTGTTTTTATTTCATAACCGTTATGATTTTGAACCCAATTCAGAAGACAAGGGAACTCCAGGATCAACTAGTTGGATAAATTTGCCTTCGTAGAGGACTTTTAATGGAACTGACCCGCATTTGCGTTACACGGAGAGGAGAACCTCCCACGGTTAGTCTGACGACAAGACTACTCTAACCCGTGTAACCGTCTACCACTGAGAATATTTTACGTCGGCAATGTGGTAGTTGAGAGCCGGGTGCGGAATTCGAATCAACCCGGTCCACCTCATTGGGAGGCGTATGCTCTATCCCCTGAGCCACCATGACTCGGCTGCTGTTTTTAAACTTTTTGGTAAAGGATATAATAAGTGACAACCACTGGCAATAGGGTGACTGGGGGCAATAAAGCTCAGGGGATAGAGCATTCGCCTTCTAGTGAGGCTAACCGGGTTCGAATCCCAGTCGGTACGAATTCCGCATCCGGCTTACACCTACCACAGTGCTGACGTGAAATATCCTCAGTGGTAGACGGATCATGGGTTAGAGTCCCCTTGCCGTCAGGATAACCGTGGGAGGTTCTCGTGGTCTTCCTCTCTATGTAACGCAAATGCGGGTTAGCTCCATCAAAAAGTCCTACATGAAGGCAAATTTCTCCCAATACTCGATCCAGGAGTCCCCTTGTCTTCTGAATTGGGTTCAAAATTACAAGGCTACGGTGTTGAACATTAGTGGTCGTAAACCCATAAAATAGGGTCGGCTGTTCAACGACGGTTATGAAATAAAAAAATAAAAAATAGGGTGATTGAATATGACAAACCGTGATTAAAAAATTGTCCGCCAGTTGCTATTCTACACTGATTTTTCTGCAGTTGCCCATGGGCATTTTATGCATTTTTGTGAAGAAAAAAAACTAGTTTTTATTGAACGATTGGAAATCCTTCTTTGTGTTACTTTTTTAGAAATACGGAAGCATTATGAATATTTTATGATATTCAGAAAATTATTTTATTTCAGAATATTATGTAAAAAAAAAATTCTTAACATTTTTTTTCATTCTAAAAATAAATCTGGAAACTTCACTATATTTTGAAAAAGGCTTCCAAAGAAATGCCCAACATGATTATCATTAAAAGAATTCTTAAATCGTTTAATATTATCAATTTTGAAAAAGCTTTCGCATGTTTCAAAAAGTGGCCAGTTTTAAAAATGCTACAACTGGCTAGTAGCAAAATTTTTCCTGTTCTGGCTAGTTCAAAATACTTTCTGGACAAGATTCTTTGTAATCGTGGTGTTATAATTATGGGTTTACAATTGAAAGCAGAAACTATTTTAAGTATGCAGACACAGATTAAAAGAGCATTGTTAGGACTCATATATATTTATTTAAATCATTAATATAAACCAGTGGTTGAAATGGCCAGAATAGTCTGGTTGGCAAGCCGCTAGACTCGCGTTCATGAAAGCGTGAGTTCGAATCCAGCCTTGCCAATTCCGGTCCACCTTAGAATTGAAACCAAGTTATATGCACTCATGATTTTTTCACGTGTTTTGCAGAAATACTGTGCTTGGGTAAATGTGACCATCACAGCAAGTGTACCGTTTAGTATAGTATATTCCCCTAAATTTAAACATCGCGTTGTGTATTTCTTCCCTTACCTAAGTTAATTATTAATGATCCCCGGATTCTCCAGCATGGGATACCTTACCTTTTCATCTGCAAAGTAAAAATTAACACCCTCATCACACAACAAGAAAATAAATGCTATCTAAGGTATTAGATTAAATAACTGGGTTTATTAAATTACTTCAGAAAAGGATTAAGTCATTAAGGGACTTGATTAAAAGACATTTTTAAAAATTACAAAAAATGACACATTCATCACGAATACATAGGAAAAAAAGTTGTCCGAGGGGAGTAGCATCAAACAAGCAAACTGCACACCAGTGATTACCACGGGCTAACATCTTGCCCCATTTATAAATTACCATATCCTATTAACATTACTGCTTGGAGATTATGCACTTAACATATCACCTCATTAACTCTTAGCCATTAGGTTTGGTAGATGAAAAACTACCACTATTATACCATACCACGTGTGACCACTAGACGTGAGCTTCCTCTCACCAGCACTAACTCATGTGGCGTACATTAGGGTTCCATCCTCCACACACATCATGCCAATATGCCTTACCATAAGGCACGGATTACACTATTCTAAAAAAGATTTTATCACTTCATTTGGATACTCAACAATTTTTCCAGGAGCTTTTCAACCACCTCCACAGCTCGTGAACANACGACTCTGCTGCTGTTTTTAAACTTTTTGGTAAAGGATATAATAAGTGATAACCACTGGCAATAGGGTGACTGGGGGGCAATAAAGCTCAGGGGATAGAGCATTCGCCTTCCAGTGAGGCTAACCGGGTTCGAATCCCAGTCGGTACGAATTCCGCATCCGGCTTACACCTACCACAGTGCTGACGTGAAATATCCTCAGTGGTAGACGGATCATGGGTTAGAGTCCCCTTGCCGTCAGGATAACCGTGGGAGGTTCTCGTGGTCTTCCTCTCTATGTAACGCAAATGCGGGTTAGCTCCATCAAAAAGTCCTACATGAAGGCAAATTTCTCCCAATACTCGATCCAGGAGTCCCCTTGTCTTCTGAATTGGGTTCAAAATTAC